GACAATCCTCCCCTGAGAAAAGCTCAGCCAGCCATGTTTGTAGCCCTCCAAGTTCTAGAAGGAAAGTCAGCGTTCTTGAAGTACAGCGCATTCCTGAGGTTGCAAGTGGAATCATTGGCACTAAAACTGTCAGTGAGAAATACGAAGAGATAGACTGCTTTGGGAATACTTACTTCTCTTCCAAAAGATCTACATTTGTTACCAGGCAGCCCGAGAAGGAATTATCTGCCTCATATGATATAATTACAAATCCAGGGAGATATGAAGAAATGGCTTCACCTGTTTCACAACGGTCTGGCCAGACCTTCTCCTCAAATTCTTTGTCTAAAAGCAAAGACAGAAAAGTGTTTGTTACTTTCAGTCATCCCAACACAGAAAAACATTAACCTGTCTGCCCATTTTGTTTTGTAGCATTTTTTTGGTGATTGTTAGTTCTATATTTCTATTTAAAATACTTATATATTAGTTTTATTGGTCCTCATTTTATATGTGTGTACAATAAAGAGTTTTATTGTAATGCTTTAAGAGCAAGGTTTTTTTGTACTGTTGCATTAAGTGTTAATAAATGTGTTACTCTTAAATACTTGTTTCAAATGCTGTATGTTAAAATTATCTCAAATAAAATACTTACAAAGCAGTATTTGTTATCAATTTAAAATTATTATTATTTCTATAAAACACCATGCTATAACAATTTTGACTTTTTTTCCATAGGAGGTTCTTCATGCTGTGAACATCATGCATAAACTCATATTCCATGTATGTCTATATTGTTGTCATAGTTCCTGTCACCTGCTAAAGAGATGTGCTCTGCGTGCCTGATGCCAGTTTATCCAGTGGAGAAAACGGTGGCAGATAAACTAATCCTACATAGTAACTGTTTCTGCTGCAAACACTGTAATAAAAAGCTAAGGTGAGAGAGGGATATCCCAATTGTCCATTTTGAAATTCCAAAATCATTTTCCTACACATTAGAAGGCAAATCAGTTATAAAATAGTTTTTAGTGTAATCCTGGAACATTTGATCAAATCTGTGATTCATAATGACAATACATGTGAAAATGTGCTAGTCAAATATCAAATCAAATACAATCTATATAATTAAATTCATATTGCATATTTAATTGATTTCATCTAATCACAAATCAAATACGATAACACTTGATTCCCTGGGAAAATTTCTATTTTACAGCATATGCTTTAACTTTGAATCTTCACTGGTGTACTATTATTCATTACAGCATTTACAATTACTCTGCTCTTTATGGAGAGTTCTACTGCCCATCACATTACCATCAGTTATTTAAGAAAAAGGGCAACTATGATGAGGGTTTTGGCCACAGACAACACAAAGACCGTTGGCTTGTTAAAACAGAGGAACCTAAACCTACTAACAAATTCAGCTCAGCATGTAAAACAGAGCCTACATGTGTTGATGCAACTGTAGATGACCCTAGAGGACCATCATCTCGACAGCAAAGACACAAAGATGATCAATTCAAATGTCCCGACAACACGAACAAGCTTAAAATAAGCTGGCCACCAGAAAACAAGGGGACCCGACATAGCCCTGTATCACTAAATACTTCCTCAGCCTCAAGAAGTACAACAGACTGGTCAAATCAAAAGCGTTCTGCTGCACGAAGCTCCAGAAATGCTCTTGAAAAGAAAAGGTTTCATTCTGGGCTGGATGAAATGGACAAATCAGTTCAGCTGTCACCTCAGGCTTATGAGAAGACAAACACATACGCCTCTCCCTTTGCAATAAAAAGTGCACCACATTCAGAGGATGTTTATACACCTCATCCAAGAGGTTCAAAAACATTACAGAAGACTGCAGATAGAGCTGGAACACAAAGCAAAATTTCAACAGGTGGGAAAGTGACAAGCAAATACTTGAATTCTGTTACTTCAAGACCAGATTCTGTGAGAGAACACAATTTGGCTGAAGATGGGAAATCTGATAGCCCAACGAAAATAAAAAAGTCTGTCCGGTTTGTTTCAGATTTAAATATAGACGAGGAAAATAACACAGATATCATCAGGGAAGAAGTTGAAAGCTCTACTGATGCTTTTGTTGAACCTGCAGCTGTCAATGGTAGTGTAATGACAGCAGATATGGCAACTTTTGAATCAGGAATAGAAATAGAGGAACCACCTGTGGAAGGTTTAATAGACAAAATGCACCATCCATACAGTAATGATTCTGTTGGACATCCCAGAGCTTTAGATGGACAAATGCAGGATCCTTTCCTTACGACTGTAGGAAAACAGGAAAGTGAAAAAACAAAAGCAAATGAGGCAAATATGAGCGAGATGGAAACAATCCTGAATCTTGATGAACTGCAGATAAATGACATCCCAGCATGTGGTAAAGAAACATTTAAACCAGGTAGTGAATCATGTGATTTGGAGCAGGTTGATGAGATAGAGAAGAAAGAGGTGGTTATTGAAAGTAATGCCAAGGCTGTAACCTCCAAAAATCAAGAACCCACAGATATTACTACGGTTGAATCTAAAGTCCCTGACATGCTGGATATGCCTCCAAAATCTGATGATAAAAGCAACAAAAAGGTTGCTGACAAAAAGGCCATGGATAAAGGGAATAAAGGGTCTTGGTCTAAAGGTAAAAGCCCTCTTTCCAAACTCTTCACATCTGGTCCAAGTAGGAAAGAGAACAAAAGTGAGACAAAAATGGAAAGCGAAAGATCCGATATCAAACCTAGAAATTTACTGGGCAGACTCTTTTCATCCTCTGAAATAGATTTAGAAATAAAGAAAACACCAGAAATCAAACCTGGAAATACATGTGAGGAGCCAGAGAAAACCGGGGTGACAGTAGATGACACTGCATTGATACAAGAAAATGTTTCTGTATCTCCACCTTCGACTGAGCCCACCTGTCAAAACACACATCAAGAGCCCATAAAACCAACACGAACCCAACTAAGTGATGCTGCAGAAGAACCAAATCTAATTGAGGGCCTTGAAAATCCCATCCTATTGCATAATGGAAGCTCTGCTGATGAGACTGTGCCATCAATAAACCTTGAGTCAATTGAACAACACAAGCCCGCTTCTGTTGGTTTTGAGGAGATTGATATGAATGAGGCTTTTAGTCCTTCACAAGAACACATTAATGTAGATCTGACCTCTCTAGACTCTTCAAAACCTTCCGGTCTTGAGGAGAGCCTCAACTCCTCTTTGCCTCAGAATGAAGATACCACTTGTTTTCTTGATTCATCTGATGCATTTACATCTCAAGTTGCAGGCCCCAACACAGATGCCATGGCTTTTTCAGGTTCAGATACACTTGATTATACACACAGTGACACATTGACAGACATTATGGATTTGGAAACTCCGTCAGTAGATATAGGGAGCTCCATTATTCAAGAAGACACATTTGGAGAAGAAGCTCAGGAAGAAAGTGGAGATATGACATCAAATCCTTCTGTGAATTTTAATCTAAAGGCTCTTGATATTTTTGGTTTGTCAGAGTCAAATATTGAGGCAAACTCATATGGTTTTGGAAACACCTTAACTCAAGTCAATAAAAATGAAGCGGTTGTTTCCTCAGAAATGACCGATGATCCCTTTGGAATGAACAATGCACCAGTCCAAACAATGGATATCTTTGGAGGCGACAATATGCTCACTGGCTTTGATCAATCGTCCACTAATAGTTTCTTTGATATTATGACAAACAGTGAGACTCAAAGTCAAAACACTTTTAAGGGAATAATAGATGGTCAACTGGCACCAAATGGAGTTTTTGACTTTACAAGTTCTGAAGGTGACCCATCAACACTATCGGTTACTTCAGATGTGTTCGAACAGAAAAGCTCTGACCTTGAAAAGGAAAATCTCATTCAAAGTGAGGTTAATAATCTTTTCAATAGTAAAGGCAATCAATCAACCTCTAATGTGCCTGATCAAAACCTTTCTGGCCAAGAGCTAATTGAGTCATCTCAAATGGAAGCTTTTGATTTCTTCAGCTCTGAGAAAGATCCATCTACAGCTGCATTCAGTCACATGAGTGCTGATCCTTTCTCAATTGACATCTTTGCAAGTGTTATGGACAGCACAGACACAAATACATTCAGTGTAGAAACAACGCAAAGAACTGTAAACCCATTTGACGATTTCACTGGGTTAGAGAGTCACGGTGATGCTGCGGAGACGAAAGTGAGCAACTTATTTCCAGATGACATATTTTCATCCGTTCCTGCCATGTCTCCAGAACCAGCACAGGATACCCTCTCCATACTAAATCCAACAAACCCTGACACAAGTGCTGTGCTGCAGCAAAAGCCTGAAAATGACTGGATGTCTGACTTTTTGGGGTAGTGTCGGTGCTATTGTTCATTACACACACAAAAAAAGATTCAAATCGTACATTTAAATAAGCAGGTATATTGATTTGCCTTTGCTGTACTATTCTGTACAATTCACAGATTTTATTACTGACATTTGATTGATTAATGTATATTTAAGCTAAAGTATTCTTACATAATGTGTTACTTTTTTAGATCTGAATAATTAATCAATGTATATTAATACAAGTGTCAATATCTAATGTAGTGTTACTTATAAAAAATGTTAGTATTTGACAATTCATTGTGATTCTACAGAGGTTGTTCAGTTAAATCAGGCTAACTTTTTGTACTTCGTATTAATCAGTAATATTTGTATGTCTGCTATGACTAATAGTTCTGTGACATAGGGGAAGAATAAATAGATTTATTTAGCAAAGTTTACTTCAATAATCCATGTAGTCTTCATATAATCCACAAAAATATATGCAAGAAAAGTAAATAATTTTCATGTTAATGTTGATCATGAACCAATGTAATGACCATGTTCATCCAAAAAAATAAAATAATTGGGTCATAAATAAAATAATAATTCAAATGAGGTTTATTGCATATTATTTTACATATAGAACACTAAATCTGCAAATCTTTTTGCTAAACTGCAGAAATTAAATCTGATTGTTATTTCTACATATCACTACAATGTAAACCGTTAAACAGAATAATAACACTAGCCACAAAGAAGGTTATAACTTGGTTGCTATGATGTCTTCACAATCTCCAGGTGCAGAGTAAGCCATTTTTAGTTGCCTTTTGAGAAATAGAGGGATAGTGTGTTCGTTTCTCTTGACAAAATATAAAATGTAAAAATGTATAATACTTAAGAGGCTTAATGTGTAACTTAAGTATTACAGAGTCATGCAACTGAATTTAAAACATGTCGACACAGCAAAAATCATTTCCATCAGCAGAATTTCACTAAATATAAGTATTTTTACCAGTTTTGAAAACTTTTTCAATATAATAGTACATGTACCTCTTGCCCTCTGCCTCCTCTGTTGAACCAGGCAGCTCAGTGTGTCTGGTCTCAGGAAGCAGGAAGGCCGTTATCCCACTTGCTAGTGCCAGGCTGCCTAACACCAGAGTGGGAATAGTGAAATGGTAGACCTCCAGCATGTTCACCACAGGAGCCAACATACTTGCTACTCGTGCTGCAGAGGCGCCCAGGCCCATGGCTGTCTGACTGGAAATCAACAAGTGGATTATTACATAACTGCATTAAAAACAACAGTCTTATTCATAACTACAGAAAACAACATGGTCATTCTTACCGAATGGAGGTGGGGAAGAGTTCTTGAATATAAACGTTGCAAATACTGCCTGCGCCATTCATGAGAAATCTTCCACAAGTGGCAAGAGCAGCGACGGCGATGGAATTACCTTAAGAAGAGCATCACATGGTTAAGTGCTGATTCTTTGTATGTTACAGTGTGTTACATGAAGGAAAAGGTTTTACTTTGTGGAACCGCAAGTGTCAGGAGACAGAGGGACCCTCCTACTATGAGGGCAGCCATCAGAGACACCTTCCTTCCAACCGTTTCCAAAGACCACATGCAGAGGAAGTGGACAGGAATCTCAGAGAGGCCGAATATGAGTTGATTGAGAAAAATATCAAGGCCAAACTTCCCCACATTCAGAGAGAGGCTGTAGTACGCTAGGTTTAGCGCACACCTGAATATAAACAATATTGAGGGGCATTCAAGTTTTGATACGAACTGAACCCTGAAAAGTTCAGGGAAAAAAGTTTGAAAACAAACGTTTCTCTGTGAATCAACTCACCATGCGAAAGTAATGCTTAAGAAATATTTCCTGAGCACACGGGAAGCAAAAAGGATTTTTATACCTCCCCTTTCAACAGGATTTTCATTTAGGACCTAACAAAAGATGTTATCCATATTGTGTTATTTAAGAAAAATGGGCCTGTCCATTGGCTGGATGTGTAAGTTAGCGAAATATATCTCCACCTTCTCCACTAATGAGTCTGGAACTGTACGTTTGTTGATCGCCGCTGCCTTCTGAATGAGTTCTTTAGCATCTGTAGTTCTTCCACGAACAAGAAGCCATCTGGCAGACTCTGGAATAAACCTATAATGGTGTGTATATCAAATGATTTAATTCACTTACAAATCCTTCAAAACAAATGCAAAATTACTGAACTGCACTCAAGAACACACATACCATATGTAGGTCACCACAAATGCAAGTGGGCCAGCCATTATAAACTGGTCCAGTCTCCAGTCCCTGACATAATAAACAACGGCAAGAAACATGACCTGGCCCAAAGCGGCCAGGACTTGACTCAGACAGGCTGCATAGGATCTCTGAGCGACTCCAATCCACTCGGTGGCTACAGTGAGGATGAAAACATTGTGATAAACACACATTATAGGAATTATAATGATTAAACACAGCTATTCTGTGTTTCACAGTCACATAATATATAGCCCATATAGACTTACACAAGACCTTTCAACTGATTTGTTGATGATGCAAAATGAAAGTAAAAATATTCTATGCAGTTTCTAGTAAGTTGATCAGCTATCTGATATTTTACATTGAATATTCAATCTGCTGATAGCTAGTGATGATGCTAAATATTGTCTCATACCAAGGATAATGCTGTTGATCCGAAATCCTCCAAGAGCAATACCAACAATGAACTGTGATGCGAGGTACACATAAAAGTTTGGAGCGAGACCAGTCACGACTGTGAATATTAGCATGAGCACCATAGGTATCTGTGTAGCTCGCTTGCGACCAAACCTTGAGTTCATTTAAACAAAAAGAGAGAGAGAGAGAGAGAGAGAGAAGAAAAAATATATAATTTACTAGAGAGGACTATTGATGACATCAACATATTTGCTGTAAAGTTGCTTTGCAATGATTTGTATCATGAAAAGCGCTGTACAAATAAACTTGACTTGACATCATGCATGAAATGAAATCTTTTCTATATGCTGAATATATGATGTGACTTTATTTTTCATGTCACAGACATCGGATGGAGTACATTTCTATGTAAGTGTCTATTATAATATAATTTATATATATATATATATATATATATATATATATATACACTAGGTGAATACTTTCTACACATACATGACATGAAGCTTGATGTGTGGGGGAATAAAGACAAATCTAAGTAACACTTTGTTTTACAGTGCCCTTGTTAAGCATTACATAGTACTAACTATAATGATAACAGTAACTTATGCATAACTACAAACAACTAACCTTAACCCAAATCTTATTATAATATTAATATTACTCAGTACTTTTTGTGTAACTAGACTGTGACAAGGACACCTTAATTTGATCTATTCTGTATTTAATCAGCGATTTTTTAACACTTACGATTCTGAAAAGGGCCCAAAAAGTACAGCTCCAACTAGTACTCCAGCGAAGAATATTGTCTGTGCTCCCCGAAACAAATTTGCATTGTCACATACAAGATCGAACTGCAAAACATCACAAAAACGTCAGGCATTTATGAAGGCTTTCTTGATGTAAACAGCATATTGTTGCCTAAATCAGCTCAAAGTGAGGTCATTTAAACACATGGTAGTTAAATTACATTATTGTGTCCACAAGTCAAATGTTTTCCAAATTGTGGGTAACTAAACCCAAGTTACCTCTTCAACATGTTTATTTGAAACACACCAGTGGTAGTACTTACATCGGTGACAATGGTTGCCTCATAAATAGTATCATTATGCACCCATCCATTAGTGCAAGTGGTGGTTTCGTTTAGGCCGTATTCCTGGATAGCAGACAGATCCCAATCCACGGGCACATACATCTGACAGGGACTGAAAGAGCCATCCGAGAGCCTGGGCAGAGTCAGGTTGAGCTGCTCTTCCTTCGTCAGATTGGAACCCACCTGAAGGATCCAGTCAGCGTTGCAATGGTGGTTTGTGTCTGCGTGGTTGAAGACAAGGCTGGATAACTGAAAAGGCAGAATGAGATTTGGAAAGCACAAAGCAAACAAGAGAAACTTTTGGAAAAGCCCAAAGTCGCCTACAGTTTCTAAAATCTCCCCAAAATCAGCCATGGTGGGCCAGAAGAGAAACAACCCATGAAAGCTTGAGAAGTTATACTAGAAAACAAAGCTAATTAATGTTTAACTGCATAATCATGTGAATGTCACAGAAAGTCATATATACAGAGAACAATGGTCATGTTATTGCGGAGAAAGTGTAATGGGTCAACATTCAAATGTTTTTTGAATGACAGAGACTATATATATATATATATATATATATATATATATATATATATGTGTGTGTGTGTGTGTGTGTGTGTGTGTGTGTGTGTGTGTATTTGTATAGTGTCTATCTATGCATGTATCTACGAAAATGTGGCAGCAAAACAATTTTCACTTGCTTGTAAATTTCACAAATAAACAAATATAAAACATGTAATTTTGAAGTAGAAATCGTTTTTTTACATTTTCTTGTAAAAAATACTTCAATGATCTATTTACTTCAATAATCATACATGCATATATATATACACACACATATATATATGTGTATATATATATATATATATATATATATACATACACACACACACATACATATATATATATATATACACATACACACATATACATACATATATATATATATATATACACACACACACATATATACACACACACCTCTTTGTCTATATCTCTATATAAAGTTTTCAAAACTAAACTGAAGTGAACTAGAGCAGTACTTTGGTTCTAAAATATAAAAACTAATAAAAAATTGTGCTGACAGTAAATGTAATGTGTAACTCAACAATATAACACCACTAGCAATAAACTGGATAAGTGCCACAGAGGACTATTATGGATCATGAAGCACTTCAACATCATTATGCAATTCACTATTAGACAAGTCTGCAGGGAAATGTCATAATTTCATTCTTTATTGATTATTATTCAAAATAATTGGGTACACATGCACTGAAAATCCCCAAAAGTGAAATACTATACAGTGGTCTACCATTGTCCTTCACTCCATACTGAGAGTGATAGTAATACCTCCATTGCTGTTGTGTCGTGACAATTCATTCCTTGAAGTTCAATTAAATAAAAAAAAATTAAGACACTAAATAAAAAAACTTTGAATTGAAAACACTATTCCACTAAAATGCAACCAATTCTTCTTTTGAAAGACCTGCATACATGCGCTTGGTGTGAAAATACAGCAGCCTTCCAGACTGCTGACAGAACAGAACGGAGGAATGATCTTAAGACAACTCACCTCAACAAACACCACAATACAGAAATATGAGCATGTAGAGATAACAATATCTGATGTGCCAATATGAAGACAAATCAGCTTAATTATCTTTAAGGATTCCTACAAATGAGAAACAAGAATATGCTTTCAATTTTCAAAGTGCTCAGTTGAATTACTTCTAATGAATTCCAGAAAAAGGGCAAGCCACTTGTCCACACGTGAAAATCGTGAAATAATGATAATAGTCTTATCACTGTCCACTACCATGGTGAGAAAGAGACTTGAGGACTTGAAGTGTCTTACAAGAGAAAGGGGAAATATTTTGAGGCTTTAGAGAATCACGACAGGGCCATAAACAATTTAGACCATCAAAGAAATGAAATCATTGTGTTTAAGCTTTGACTTGACAGTCTATTTAAAGGATCGGAGATATGATTGACACAATGATTACAGTAAGGTGGCATGCCATTGTAATGAGCTGTTAACCATTAAACCACAGACCACAAGCATTCCTTCTAAGAATCTCACCAACCACTCCAACAACGATGAACAAAGACAGCAAGGCAGAAACTGAAATGTAGGAAAACAATAATAGCCCTCCACTGTTGACAAAGTAGAATTCAGTACATAAACTATTCTCAAGTCATGCTAATGTAATTTTTCAGGGCTACATTTTTCAGTAATGAAACCAGAGTGTTGCGTTTTTCCACTGTGAACACAAAGAAGCCAACAAGAAGTCATTAGACAAACCACCACGTCCACTCCATAGAAAGGCCAACTGTGAACAGTATGTATACGGTTTATATTATATATAAACAACACCAATTTGATTATTTACATGATTATTTTTCTTGATCAAGTACTCGTTAAGATGCCCCACCCACATTCATTGTTGTATTCACACTAAATATATTTTTAAAAGAAAAATCAACAGTCATTTGCACATACACACAAGTGTGAAAGTGACAGCAAATGAATCACCAACCATGTCTACAATTAATCGGTTTTAAAACCATCTTAAAATGTACTGTTTTTGTTGGAAGCCAAAGTGAGAAAATAACTGGGAAAATTAAAAATGAAGTGGAGTGTAGATCCTCGGTAAGAAGATGATGAATTAAACAAAATTAAAAGTCCGGCAAAAAGGTTTAAATAAAATTTAAAAAGAAAACAGTTATTGCCAAAATCACTGGCAATATGACCATGTAATTTTGGTTTTTAAAGGGAAAAAATACCAGTTGCATGTGAACATTTTCTGCTTATATAACATGGAATCAGACAGTCTACTAAGACAGATGATATTAAGCAAGATGTAATGAAATTAAATATTTACAATGACACAAACAGGCCCACGAATTCAAATCCAATGGATTTGCCAATATTGCCAATATTACTTGGACACAGGATGAGTCCTGAAGTCACTTTTCTTTTGTTTCTTGCTGGTCAGTGACTGTGTCCCAGGCTTCACTGGTTTTTACTTCATTAACAGTGCTTGCAAGGCAAGCAATGTATACGGAGTCATGTTTTCCATTTTTCTATACATCTCTAGGTCCACGCACAGACTCCATTCCAACTTTGTTTTGCAGATGTGCTCATAATTGAGAACTTTAAAAATGTGTTGAATATTGAGAATTCAAAATGTAACTATCAGTGGTAATTTGATTTTACCAAAATGTTAATGGTATTCTTTTGCCGCCTTGCAAACACTGGAATTTCCTTCAAAAAAATCATAAATCTATATCACTATCCAAACAGCTGCCTCTATACTTAACAGCTATGCATGTAAATGAAACCTGTAACATTATGCTGAATCCAAAAAATTGCATTAAACTTTCCAATATATATGAAATGCACAATTTCCAGAGAATTTCAATTGTTTTCTGAAACAACAGCATATACATCCTTCGCGAAAAATATCAATTGGATGAAAAACACAGTTCACGTTTTTTTAACAAGCTCAATATCTCATTTAATCTCTCTTGCACCTCCTGTTTTCACAGAGAGCCGGCAAAATTAAGTGAGAGCAAAATGATCAGCATATCTTAAGTTAAAAATCATTCATGCAGTCTGGCATTAGCCCATGCAAAACGATGGGAATGTATCCCGATAGTGAGAAAGCAGCAGAAACGTGTAACCGTGAGGTGCAGTGCACGGGTGTAACGGTGAAACATCATGTCTGACGGGGTTGTGGGTGACGTGGCTCCCATGTTTACTGGTTAATGTGTAAAACCATACAATGCTGATCGCTCCAATATGATGCACCACATTGCAGAGAACAGCTGACTTTATAGTGGTGCCAACATGCACCCTTAAATGCTATTGAATGACAATCCTCCTTCCTTTGACATACACAGCTGAAAGCACACACAGTCACTCATTCATTTCACAGATGAGATCCACAGCTACCGTCGACCTACAGTTGTAAATTCAGTAGTACTACCGAAAGTAAGGCATTCTTTGACATCTACCAGTATTAGGAGTTGGTTCAGATTGTGCAAATGTTTAAAGCAACAGAAAACAACACATACATGAATACTGTAAACATCTTAGGTGCGCTCCTATGAAGAACTCGGATGCAGTCCTATTCGACATTTGTGGTGTCAGGTTCCCTCTGTCTCTTTGGCAGTAGTGGTTTCTTTAGGCCAATGAAAGCATTTACAATGCACTGTTGTGCAAACAAGTCTGTGTGTTTTTTTCCTCGTTGCTGGTAATACTGTTTTAACTTATACTCAGCTGAGCAAATCCCATGAGTTTAATGTCGTCTGGAATTTCAGAGCTGTCCACTCCCGATGCCTAAACGGAAGAAAGATAAACATAGAGCCAAATATAAAACAACACCTCCGGTGAGTAACTGACCACTGCATCACAATCTAACGACTTACCAACTTGAAAGTGACATTTTTGTGGGTTTGTGGATCATCAACGATTTTCTGCAAATTGGCTGCAACTAAAAAATGAATGCAAGTTAAAAACATTAATTATTTTCAACCTTTGTCTTTTTAGTGTGGAGCAGCTTTTTTATTTTTATCTCGACAAACTCACCAATGACTAAGTCTCTCCCATCCACCAGTCCTGCAGACACAAGCTCCTGAGACACTCCATCAGCTGTGTCTGGATATAGAAGACAATAAGTTATACAACATTTTACAAGCGTTGTGATCGAGATTGCGTGATTAGAAATGAGCAAGAAACAGACAGATATTTAGTCACGTGAACAGCAAACCGCACAAACCTCTCCCAGGCATGAACTCAAATCTGATATCGTTCAGCTCTTTCTTTGTATTCCTGTTGTGAAAATAAATAAAGAAAGTAATGTGAAACAGTTTAAGAAACAAGACATTATCAGAAGACATTTTGATTTTACTGTAGAACTAACCTGTTATTTTAGTTTTTTATATACTGATACTGTTATTTTTATACATGTTGTGTTATGTGCGTTTACTTTTTTATTAGTTCGATTTTTCATATTTAATTTGATTTCGATTTTAGTCATTCTTTAATCGTTTCAGTAATTCCACTTGATTTCAGTTAGTTGCTAAGGAAACATTTCTAACTTTTGTGCAAGTTTTCCATATAATATTTGTGTTTCATATTATTTCAGCATATTATGAAAATTTTTTTTTTTTTAGTTTGTTAACACTGTAAAGTCCTTTCTTTCAATCCTGCACCAATGTGCATCACTCTAAAAACCTTTCTAATTTTCAGTGATAAACTGAAATATTTGTATTGTCATACAAAAAGAGCAGTTATATCAGTTTCACACAGAAATCTAACTTTTAAGTCACTGGGATCAGTGCTTGCATTTTTATATAATGTAAAAAGAAAGGGTGAGCCAACACAACCTTGTGGAACAAATGCAACTGTCCTCAACAGTATGGTTAACTCTAACCTAACTGATCTATTTGGTTATTAAAAAAAAGCCGTTGTTTTTGATTGATGGTCAGCATCAATCATCATGATTATAATGAAAAATACCTTAATCTTAGAACCAGGCTGATGGGGGTTTTGGCTGAGTCTTGCCCCGTCGTAGTAGGTCCACCAGCCTACACGGATACAATTTTAAGATCTAAAGTCAAACCTAAGTTATGAACCAAGTCCACTTGTTTGGTCATTCTCACTGCTGATACTATTGTCACACATGTGACTCATTAAAGCAGAGCTCACCTGGGAGCCTGGAGAAGACGCTGATATCGTGGCAGTGTCATCTGCAGCATGTGGCACTTCAGACTGTCCTGCAGCTGCTGGCTGCAGGAAGCTTGATGAATCAGCTGGAAAGATCTTTGAAAGAGGCAGAAACAAGATTTTCTTGAGAATGGCTTTGAGGTAACTCAAAAAGTAGGAAATGGAACTGAACTCTCACCTCTGCATTTTGCACAGCCTCCTCCTTTACTCTTGGTGACTAAAAAGAGACAATTTAAAAGACTTGCTTTATCCAAATCCACAGCCTAAAATAAAACAGACTTTGGTAACGATGCAGCAGATGAGTGTGTACCCGTAAAGCGGCCACTGCAGCCTTTCCTTCCTCACTCTCCATGTCCAACTCATCATCACTCCATTCCCATTCTCCATCCTCAGTCTTGTGAAGTCGACCGCTGGAGCCCGGAACCCTTCGCACCTGTTCACACAAACAACAAAATGCTTGAAGCACAACTACTAAAATTATTGTGTAATATTTGTCAGTAAATTTCTCACCCACCTTCCTTGATCTCTCTCCTATTGTTGGCGCCCGGTCCAGCAATTTTTCTTTCAAGTATTCATTGATCTGTAAAGAAATTGTGATAAATTAAATTCAACTTTCGTAGTAAGCTACAAGCCAGAAAATTAGTTCTAAATAGACACATTATATTCTATTATTATTTATTATGAATAATTCCACAAACGTAATATTTTGGTTAAAACGGTGAAATCAGGTTACACTATTCTAAAAATACATTTGAGAGAGACAGCATCCTCTGTGGGTCGTAATGTAGCACTGCAGTGGCGTACAGGCCTCTCTGTTTACACACAGACTACAGTGCTACCTACTGAGCCGCCAGGAATGAAAGTCTGCTGAGGCAGCACTGCGTTTGTTACTATATGGGCTGTATCCCGTGAGGAGGAAATGGCCTTTAGAAACTCTAATGCTGAGCATTTGTTACAGTAAACCAGCCAAGCTGGACCAGTGGTTTAGAAATGTTTAGGCGACAACGACTGTAGCCAAACTAAATAATTTTTCCTACCGGAAGCAGCAATTACATAAAACAGACCACACATTTATGCACTTAGGTTACCAGTAAATGAATGAAAAAAAAATCACTACTCTAGTCATTCTTTGTACTTTACAAATTCGGGTTACAGGATCTCACCTTGGCTTTTGTGAAGAACTTGTGTTTTAAGAGTTCAGCAGCTGTAGGGCTGTTGATGAAAAACATTGAAAATGTATAATATGACCAAAAACCGTTGGTCTTGATAGAATCAGAGAACGTTAGGAAATCAATGCACTACCGTTTTTCTGGATCCTTCTGGAGGCACAAGAAGATCATCTTCCGAAAAGATTTGCCGTATTTTTTAACCATCTCTTTATCTGTAACTCCAGTCTCTAGACAAGGAGGGTCATTCTGCAGGGTTAACATGAGAACCTAAACCAAACAAAAGGGAGAAAGGAAGAAATCAAGAAAGTCCAAGACAAATCATTACTGTGGACCAAGTATAGACAAAAACATTAAGCAACCAGAGGCTTCTGAATTACTGCAGAAAATTATTATGCTTCTCACACATTTTGTTCATCAAGATAAATTTTTTACGAATTTGGAAGCCTAAATACAAATTGGCAGAAGTAGAAAGTTAGGCTATAAACAAACAACACCATACGTCAGCACCACTAAGCTTTTAACAAATCGTTTTATCTTTATTTAAAATCTACAAGCTGCAATTTTTGAGTTAGAATAGAGTGCAGGAGCAGAAGTATAAATACAACAAGGTTGTAAAAGTTGACTATTGAGTAGATAAGTTTTCCTGTTTGGTGTAATGAGGTTTAATGTCCTTGACCACCTCTGAGGTCCTATTTAGCAACTTGTTAGCAACCACCTTTTTTCAACACACATAGAAGCTTGAAAAACAATGACTGAGGTATTACTGATGTATTTTATGTAACAGAATAAAACGTGAATTTAAGCTTGTGTTAACCACCAATCAAATATTTAACCAAAACCCATTCAAAAAACCCACTAACTTCAATGGAAACGAAAGTGCAAAAAGCCAACTCAATTCCAGATTTTACGATTCATTCCTTCATCACTCCTTTTGCAGGTTTCATAGCGGACTCTCCATGAACTGAACACAAACAGTGACTTGAAGGCTGCTTACCTTCATTGGAGGATATTTGTGATATGGAGCAGCCCCGGTTGCCAGCTCAATAGCTGTAATCCCGAAACTCCAGAGATCAGCTTTGAAATCATAACCCCTAACCTGTGATTGAGCAAACACATTATCATTATCACATTCCGTAACAAAGCCATTTGGTTTCCAAAATATATGAAAGGCAAAGTAGGAACAGGTGGGACCACACTAACCTGCTCCATCACCTCAGGTGCCATCCAGCATGGAGTTCCTACAAATGTCTTCCTCACTTTGTTTCTAGTCATGTCTCCACCAGTTGCTAAAAAGGCACTAACACCAAAGTCTTCAGAGGGAAAAGCAGATGACAAAACTATCAATCGCCTGACCCATGTTGTTTAATATATGCTTTTCGTTCCAAGCACCACCTATAATCAAATCAAAACCTTCCTAGTCCAGAAAATGAGCATCTAGAGGCCATTCCCAGACTTTGAAAGCAAACAGAATTATATTGCCTTTTTCCTGTTTGCGTCAACAAAAAATAACTTTTTTCCCCTCCAAGTATAACATTCCGCATAAAGTACATAAGCACTAAGGCAATCAAACATTACATTTAAATAAGAATTTTCTACATTCCTAGATAATATTCTACAGTTGAGATCATTTTAAAAAACAGTATATTTAAACCCTACTACTAAGCTAATTACTTGTCAATAACAGTGAAACTCCACCTGCAATTTGAACAGAGCCGTCTTCTCCTAAAAGAATATTTCCAGCCTTCACATCCCTTAACAGAGTAAAAGTACAGGTCAGCGTATTGCTCAGTGTCTCAAAGTTAAAGGGTTAGTTCACCCAAAAATTTTAAGTACTCCATGATTTACTCACCCTCAAGCCATCCTAGGTGTATATGACATTCTTCTTTCAGACGAATACAATCAGAGTTATATTAAATAATGTCCAGGCTAATCCATGCTTTATAATGGGAGTGGATGGTAGCCCAAAATTTGAAATCCAAAAAATGTCACCCATCCATTATAAAAGAAGTCCACACGGCTCCGGGGGGTTAATAAAGGCCTTCTGAAGCAACGCGATGCGTTTGTGTAAGAAAAATATCCATATTCACAACTTTATAAATCTTAATCTCTAGCTTCTGCTAACTGTCGTACACTCTTTCACGAGAGAGTGGCATCCATCAGATGACGTAGGACGTAGGCAAACGCGGTGACGAATGCGGAAGTGACTAATGTGGAAGCGCAGAGGAGAGAGCAAAACGAATTAGTTGTACAAAGCGAGGATTTGTAAAGAAAAATGTCGGAGGATTTCGATATAAGCCAAGAGGAGACTGGTTTTCCTTTGCTGTAAACAAAACTTGTTTCTCGCGAGACTAGCATATTCTCACCGGCACTTATGCTACGCCTACGTCACCCGCTGGACGCCACTCTCTCATGAACGAGCGTACGACAGTTAGCGGAAGCTAGAGATTAAGATTTATAAAGTTGTAAATATGGATATTTTTCTTAAGGCTTGTTCACACCGGGAATGAATATCGCGCGTGATTATCACCGACGTTTAACACCTCGTGACTAAACAAAGGGTGCCAATGGTGAGTGCAAAACGCGAGGCGTAAAAGCGTAATTTTTTTAAAAACAGCCTCGGGCTCGTTTTTTTGGTTTGACGCGCCGCGTTAAAAACTGGCCGACAAATGAGATTGCCGCTTTTGTTCACGTGCCTGGAGCTGCTGAAGTTACAGTAAAACACGACTTGGTGGCACACAAGCACAAAACGGTCTTGCCGAGCACACATTGCTACCTAACGACAAAGAGGAAGTAAGTAGACCAAGAAGATGCATTGAGGCAAGATGCATGTAGAGCTGCTGGTCTCATTGGTGTCTGAACACAAAGGGCTTTATGACAAACGTGACAGTGACTACAAAAATCTCGATAAGAGGGAGTTGTTATGGAGATGAATTGCAGATCAAATAGGATTCGATGGGTATTTTTGTTTTTCATTAAGCGCCATCTAATGTCAGGGAGTGAATTTGCACGTTCACTCAGCTCATCGCCTGAGAAAATCACTTGGGTATGAACACAAAAGACGCGTCGAAAACGTTGGCGATAAGCGCGCGCGATAATCGTCCCGGTGTGTACGAGGCTTTACACAAACGCATCGCGTCACTTCAGAAGGCCTTTATTAACCTCCTGGAGCTGTGTGGACTTCTTTTATAATGGATGGGTGCCATTTTTTGGACTTCAAATTTTGGGCTACCATCCACTCCCATTATAAAGCATAGAATAGCCTGGACATTATTTAATATAACTCCGACTGTATTCGTCTGAAAGAAGAATGTCATATACACCTAGGATGGCTTGAGGGTGAGTAAATCATGGGGTAATTTTAATTTTTGGGTGAACTATCCCTTTAAGAATGGAAAATGTTGCACACATAAATGTAATTAAAGACACCAAACCATTCATATACCTGTGAATCTGACCATTTTTGTGCAGATAATCGAGACCTTCAAGCACCTCTTTTAGTATGGTGGCAATGCTGGCCTCATCCATGACACCCGATTTGTGCTCCCCTTTGGAAATGATGTACTTAATAAAATCAAGAACTGAGCCTGAAACAGATATGAATTGAAGGATATCGCATTATGTAGCATTTTATTTTCAAAACAATTAATAACTTTTGTTTATTCAAGGCAAGCTTTTAAACTGACTGACCACCACTGAGCAACTTCATGACCAGCCAAAGCTCATCCTTGACCACAAAGGAGGTATAATAAGACACAATATTTGGGTGATGGCACTGGCTCATTGCCTGGATCTCTTTCTAAAAAAATAAAAAAAAAAGAGGAAAGAAAATGTTAGGAAGCAGTAAATGTTTAAATATAACAGAGGTTTCTAAAAGGTAATAATGGTAAGTAATTGCAAACAAAAGATCCCATTCAGATCGCTATGAGTGCTTAACCACATCCTTCTGGGTCGAATTACTTTAAGATGCTGCCATTCATGAGTTTTATGCTACAGAACTGAAAAAGAAAAGACCCTAGACATGCAGTGAATAGAAATCTTTAAATACAAATTTACATCAAACGAAATTAATTGAATTAAACCTATTCTACATCATAAAAAGACACATTTTCTGTATAAATGCAAGTGTAGTTAGCTAGTTTGGTCTCATAGGCCATTCTAACTCTGACAGTTTAATCACAGACCAGAAAGCCTTTCCTTGTGTCTGTGCAAGTTTAATCCTCCTCTGATTGACAGACATGTGGCTGCCTTGCACATGACCCGAGTTACATCATGACCCTGCCATTTGGCAAAAAGGTCCTTAACTGAG